ATGAAGTTGAACGTATCCTTGACAAAAGAATTAAAAAGCGTGGGAGACGCAAAAACTATGTTGAGTACCTTGTCAAATGGCTAGGGTATGGACATGAGCATAACAGCTGGGAATCAGCAAAGTCAGTTGCAAATGCACAGGAACTGGTTCAAGCATTTGAAAATGGCAGAACACCTGTGATGCGAATGCAAACTGTATAAAGTACGGGATGTACATACTGAGACATACTCATGTGTGACTATGCTTTGACAGGTTCTCCTGCGATAGGCCCAGAAGAATACTGGGTACACCGCCCCCCGTGCCAAGATGCAATTTGGACACATGAACGCTATGTCCGTTGCGATCTTGAACGGAGAAAGATTGGATCTTGACGACCCGCTCGTGCCGGCACCTCATGGAGCTGTGCGTGTGCGTGGCCGCGGGCGAGGACGAGGTCCCGCACCAGGCCGGCGCACCCCTGCATGGGCATTTGGTGGTTCCCACTATAGGGGTCGTAGATCATAGGCCGGGAGGTCGAACATTCCAGCCATTTGGCTGAGGAAGAGTTTTAATGAGGGTTGTGAAGACCGGGAGGTCATGTAAAAACAACCACTCTTTCTCTTCACCACTAACTGTGTAGTGTATACCAACTGGGCATGTGGCAAATCGCACAGCTAGTTCTATTCATATACACATAAGGTTTCTGCTCCCATATCCACATATTGGGACGAGGACGCCCCTCTCCCTGAGGGGGACGAATGTTACGCGCACCGGCCTGATGTGGGGGACGCTCTACTAATGGTCCTTGGTGTGGGGGACGCCCTGCCCAAGATCGTATTGTATTCCTTGTCCCACGGTAACCATTATACTTATATGGATATGGGAGTAGGAGGGGTGGTCCCGCCTAGGTGCCCTGTAAGGACCTAGGTGCCCGGCGAGGTGGGTCCGCGGCTCAAAGAGGGCAGGAACCCCACACCCACAGACTTTTCGTATCAGTGTCCTTAGGAGGTGTACATAACCAGAGTGCCAACCCAAAGAACTGGCTGGACAAGTTCATTGACTTTGATCAGTTGTTGAAATTCTGGAAGGTTGTAGGTGGCCTATTCCTGACTCTGCTCAGTGCAAACCTATTCATCTGCAGTCCTATACTTACTGCTCGTCTTGCTAAATTGCTTAGAAGGGTGTGTGAACAGTGTTGGTGTAATTTACTGTCGTTTATGCGCGGTGAAGGCTTACAACTGGCTGGTATAGCCAGAAAAATTCCCCGCATTAAGGGACAACTCAGTTTTCTGTGGAACTCTGAGCGCATACGGCGTAGTCAAGTCAGACAGAATAGGGGCACCGTACCAATCACGTCGCAGCCTGTGACAGGCGTGATTGCCGGCCCAAGTACTAGTACAGTTTGCTTTCGGCTGACCTGTGCTTTTGCAGCTGGAATAGTAGTGGGTTGTTGTGTGTCTCTGGGATCCCTTTGTTTGGGGATCTGGATTGGGCACATTCTCTAGCAAGTGTCAACGTGGCCGTGACTCACCAGCCGCACTAGGCAGTCACACGTAATGGCCATCGAACAACTGGTAATTCGAAAAGCCAAGAAAAGAAAGCATGTCATGAACGGGGAGTGTTGGCCGCAGGCTTCGCGCTGGACAGGGAGGGCGGGAGAATATTATTCATTGAAAAAAGCCAAGAAAAACGCAACCAATCCATCACTGCCGAAAAAAAATTAACGCCAACAAGAACAGGGTGTCCGCGGTTTTGCCTTGGATTAGGACGACACTGCATGGAACCCACCGCGTGCCCACCAGAGTTCTGCTGCCCGGCCTGCGGCCGGACGCGGCAGCTCTCGGCCGCCGTGGCCCCCGCGTCCTGCGCGTGCCTGCTGTGCTACGGCTGCCTGGAGGCCGCGGTGGCGGCCGCCCTCCGCGACTCTCATCCCCCCACCGGACCCGACGGCCCCCTCGCCCGACGCTACCGCCCCGGCCGCGGGGCGCGATTCTTGGCCGAAGACGGCAGCAGCGGCAGGGGGGAGATCGCGAAGGTCAGGTGGGATGGCCCCATGCCCACGATCGGCCTGCGCGCCTCTGACACCCGGGATGGCTCAGAAGCGGATCTTCTTTGGGTGCCGCTGTCGGCAGTCTCACTCAACGAAGAGGATGATAATGAGAATGATTCGGTCGGCGCGAGACTGCCCGCGATGCGCTGCCCGTCCTGTGCGGCGCATCTTTCGGAAGTGGACGCGGCTGCTGCTGCGCCCGACGCCTTCAGGGCCTTCTGCGAGGCCATGAGCGAGGCCGCCCTGAAAGGGGCCAATTTCATTCGCTGTCCAAATCCTGATTGCGGGGCGGTAATTGAACGACCGCCACAAGACTCGATCCCCCAGCGTGACGATTGCCCCGCCTCGACCAGTTTCGACGCGCCGTTTCGAATCCGCTGCGCCATGTGCGCCCGCGACTTCTGCGGGACGTGCCTGGCGACACCGTTCCATGGAGGCATGACGTGTGAAGAGAACGGCGCGCCGGACTGCCGGTTCTGCGGCGGAAAAGCGACACCGAAATCATCCGCAAAGACTGCCAAGGAGCTGAGAGCCTCGGCGGAGCGCCTTGGGGCGGACACGAGCTGGTGCATCGAGAAGGGCGATCTGCATCATGTTTGGCGGTTGGCTTCAGGCGTTTGTGGGGATGCTGGCTGTTTGCGCAAGCTGGCGGAGTCCTGCACGAGGGATTTGCCTTGTGGGCACAGCTGCTGTGGGGTGCGGGGGGAGGTGGCCTGCCCCCGGTGCGTTTGCAGCCCATGCGGAGGTGGGAGCGGGGAGGCTGAGGAGTGTCAGATCTGCTGGGAGCCACTGCCGAGAGGGCCGTGCCTGGAGCTCCGATGTGGCCACATCCTGCACCTGGACTGCCTGAGGGGGCGCCTGGCGGCTGGCTACCCGGGGCCCGAGATCTCGTTCAATTTTTTGGCATGCCCGCTGTGCGGTTCGGGGGAAGGGAGGATGGGGAATGTGCAGGTGGCGCTGTCGGCTGTTCACATGGACCACCCAGCCCTGCACAGGGAGTTGGAGCCATGGCTGGCACTCAGGGAGGAAGTGGGGAGGCTGGCGAAACGGCGATTGAAAGCCATGGGGCTGTTGGCAACTGCACCTGAGCTCAGGCCGGGGGGCAGCCACGACGGGCGCCCTGTGGACTTTGCGCTCAAACAGTTACTGTACTTTTTGTGCTTCAAATGCCGGCGTCCTTACTTTGGAGGGGTCAAGGACTGCCAGCGGGGCGCAGGCCAGGAGTACAGGCCCGAGGAGCTCCGCTGCGGCAGCTGTGCCGCGCTCATGGCCGGGGAGCACTGCAGGTTGCACGGCACCGAGGCGATCGAGTGGAAGTGCAGGTACTGCTGCAGCACCGCGTGCTGGTTCTGTTGGGGCACGACCCACCTCTGTGATGCCTGCCACTCGAATGTGGCGGCATTGCAGCTGCAGCAGTGCGCCTCACCAGATACGTGCCCACTGGGAATCCGGCACCCTCCGCCGGGAGAGGAGTTCTGCTTGGGCTGCGCCCTGTGCCGGTACAGCGACGCTCTGCCCAAGAGCTGATCTGCAGACCCTCAGTAAGCAAGAAGGATGTTCCATTCTAACAACAAGGGCAGGTTTACTGACCTGGGCCAGGAGATGTCACGATCATCGCAGACTGCATATTGGGGTTTGGACTTGCGAAATTCAATTGAATACAATGAGCAATGCAGGGCCAGGATGGTGTGCCTTTGCTCGGAGAAGACCAGTCCCACTCAAAGAGCAACAGGTGGTGGCGGCTGCCTCCTTGTCCTCATTGACTGGTGGCTTGAAATGATATTTTCAGGTATGGCCCCAGCCACTTGTGATGCTCCATAGCAACTCCCATGGCATCCCGTGGGCCGCTCTTTTGCAGCGGCAGTAGCCATCAATCGATGCTGCTATCGTTTATATCGGTGCCAACAGTTTCGCCAGATACTGATGGTATAATTGCGGCAGTTGCTCTTGCGCTTGAGCGTCAGCCAGCGTTCTTGAACGCCTTTGGGGAACTGGGATGGAGTTGGGATGATCTCAGATGACAGCAGTGCAGCGATGCTGTGTCAAACCTTGCAGGGTAGCTTTTGAGTAAGAAATGCAGGTACCAGTTGAAGCGCAGCACACTCGCGACAGTGTTCTCAGATGACAGCAGTGCAGCGATGCTGTGTCAAACCTTGCAGGGTAGCTTTTTGGAGTAAGAAATGCAGGTACCAATTGAAGCGCAGCACAGTCGCGACAGTGCAATGTATTGTGCAATTGCTTGAGAGACAGTGCTCGGGCCTCGTTCCCCCAACCGTCTGCGACGCTAGTGGAACATCCTCATGGGAGAAGGGCAGTTTTCTGTCCTACTTTGCAATTGCAATCAAGCAGACTTCGTTGCTGTAGCCGCCAAGTTGCACTCCGACACTGATTAATTACAATTTCACGGGCAACCGTGCACGACATCCCACACATCCACACATACGGCACACAGCACACCCTCCTCAGCTCCCAGCGCGCTACACCTGGCCCTGTCCTCATGGCGACGGCACAGTTTGCGGCGTCGAGAGGCCTCCTACCTAAAATCCATCCTCCTATATCACAACTGTACATCGCCAAACTCCGTGTTCACAACTGTACATCGCCAAACTCCGTGTTCACAACTGTACATCGCCAAACGCCGTGTTCCCAACTGTACATCGCCAAACGCCGTGTTCCCAACGGTTTGATGGCAGTTTTCCGGTTCCGCAGCCAAACAGTTGCATTCCGCGCCCTGTTTCCAGAACGTTCCCATTCCCCAGAGTCCAGAGTCTCCGGACACTTTCAAAAATTCGCAATCCTTGCGGTCTTGATAGCTTGGTTTGGGGCTGTGGCTCTCGCAGCCTTGAACGCTCTGCTATATATACACAGGCCGAGAGCAGGCCCTGACCGTGGCCCCAATGCCACGGCGGCGCCCCTGATGAATTTGCTTGCACCTTGGCACGTCTTGAAGGCCGTCGTATTCGTTCCAGCATCAGCACGCCATCGCGTCGTCCATGTGGTTCGCCTCCATCAATATTTCGACGATGCTCTGCACAGACTGCCAACACAGCCAAACAACTGTCGTCGGCAACACTGTTGTTTTTATCATTTTTGCGAGTCCAAACTATTACATCACATTTCATTTTCCAGGTGCCTCCCCCGTCCTATCACAAGACACGTGGGCCTTGTGAAACCACCTAGCGAGAGGGTGCAAGGCGATGTAAAAAGGTGTTCGAATCCAAAATAATGCTCGGTCTAAAGAAAAAGAACAGCAACCATGGTTGGTGTAGGCTGCTCAGGGCACTCACGAGCGCGTCGCCAAACTACGGGGATGGCGCTCGTTGGCTTGTGATCAATGTGAAGGAAACGCTGGACTAGAGTTCACCAACGGACAGCGGCAACATACAGATATTCATTGCCATGGGACAGTGTGTGGAATCGAAATTTACGCACAACACAAGATGCAGACAGAAGGCTACTCGGCCATGAAACTCCCTGCAGTCTGATGTGAAACAGCAACTGCATTGCACACCCGCAGCAAGCACACCTCCTGGTGCACGTTCTGGGAGGTGGTCAGCGGCTTTTCTGCTTCACTCTGGCAAGTTTCCTGTCGTGCAAGATGGACTGGAGACATCATGTTGCTGTCAAGGGAGGGGTGCCGTGGCAGGATGACTAACCGGCTGGCTGGAGCCCTTGTGGCCACAGCAATTTGGGGATCAGGTAACGATCCACCAGAGGGCACACTGGGCATTCTCACCTGCAGGCCTTCCTCTGGGCGCACAGGGTAGTTTGTGTTGTCAGCGCCAGGAGGGAGGTCAGTCTGGTACCACGGATGGTTGATGATGCCCTCCACCGTGATCCTCTGGGCTGGGTCTGGAGTCAGTATCTTGCCAAGGAGATCCAGGCAGCTCGCGGAGACGGTCGACTCTGAGGGCACGCTATAGTCGCTCTTCACGATCCGCTGCAGGCACAAAGGAGCCACAGAGTCAACAATCGATTCACGATCAGCTGCAGCAGAAAGGAGCCAGAGCATCAACTATAGATGATGCCAGCACACAAGGAACCAACCAAGCAGTGGCTGGATGGGTGCAAAGAATTCAGTATCTAGTACAAAATTAGTTGTACAAGAATGTGATGGGTGGTAGATTTCAAAAGGTGCCCATTCTGTGCAATGCATCCATATCTATTGGGGAGACTATCGTTGGGTCTCAAGATCGGATGCATTGTAATGCAAACCAGACACAAGCACCACTCAGCACCACGGCTGCCTATGCACCACGAGGTGGCTGCCTGTGCACCACAAGGGAGCAGCGCACATCAAAAGTGAACCACAATCGTCCAGTGTGCCCCACCTCCATGAGGGCCAGCATGGCGGCCTTCATGTCGAGCGTCCTGTCACATTCCCTTTCAAAAGGAAAGGATCGGAACAGCATGACATAGAGAACGACTCCACAGCTCCAGATGTCAACTGCCTGTCACAGGCAACACAGGGGTAAGTGCCAAACACAGCAAAATCTTGATTGCCAAACAGTGGCTGCATGGTTGAAAGGGTGTTGCTGGTGCTCCCAGACTCCATGGCGGCGATTTGCCACTGATTCACCAAAACAGTTTGCAAGCGCGTGCTTGGTATGGTTCATCTGCACTCCTTTTGAAAGAGAAAATGGGGTGAATCATGATGCACTTTTCATGCATGTCCAGTTGTGCCAATCGAACAAGCAGGTTCAAGGTGCACCACCCCGGCCATTTTGTTGTTGTCAAGAGAGATCGCCATTGTGGTCAGCGATGTACGTACCTTCCCATCGTATGTTCCCCCCTTCTTCATGTTGACGATCTCAGGTGCCAAATAGTTGGGGGTGCCAACGCGCGTCTTGCACAGGGAACTCCGCGAGTCCTGCAAGAGCAGAAGCCACAGGTAAGCCCAAGCCATTTTGCTTGAAAGAGACCGCACAACTTGGGATTCAATGCGTGCACAAAGGGCAAGAGGATCCTCCAAACCCATGTCGGTGGCTGGGATATCTCTTATCCGATGTGTACAGGCGGCCAAAGCACACACACGTTCAAGTGGCAAGGGTAGCGCTTTCGAACTTGCTTGCCCTAAAAAGATCCCCAAAGGCAAAGTGACAATGCTGCCATAAAACAAGAGTAGCCCTGCACCAGGAGCAAGGCAGAAAACCTGCTGTGAGTCTCACCATGCCTTCAGGGGCTGAGCCACACACCTTAAGGCCGTGCCTGTACTCACCTTTGACAACCCAAAATCGCACAGCTTCAGCAGCTTCTTGTCTGCATCCAGCAGTGTGTTCTCGAGTTTCACATCCCTGTTCGCCACGTTCTGAACCAAACACACAACTCAACGTCAGCCGGTTCTGTCAGGCAAACTAGCACCAGTGTTTTGGCAGATATTGTGCCAGCTTTCTTTTGCGCTTCGTGCCAGGCTGCTGCATGCTATTTTCCCGTTGGCACTCGGAGAATGGTGCATCATCCTGAACAAGGAGGACAACAGGCGGCAGGCCGCTTTGCCGTTCCAAGAAGGAGCATCCGTTGCAGAAAGGGGCGTGGCTGCTCCCGCGGGGCCTCACCATGTGATGGCAGTACCGCACGGCGAAAATCAGCTGCTGGAAGAAGAACCGCGCGACGTCCTCCGTGAACACGTTGGCGGCCAGGTAGGTGGAAAGGCTGCCGCCTGGCGCGTACTCCATGACGATGCACACGAACCGATCGGTCAAAAACACCTGCAGAGCAGGGAGGACGCCCAGGCGAAAATCAGAAAAAGGACCCAAAAAAAGTGACTGCCGTTTGACCGCACGCGCGATCAGCGACACGGGCCGCCAGGGCCCAAACACGTCTTCGAGCTCATTATGGAATTGAGTGCCAAGTACCAAACGACTCTCCGAGCGGGGCAAGCAAAATCACTTGGAGACAGCGATGTTCTCCTCCGAGTGAGGGGGGGAGGAAAAGTGAGCATCAGCAGGCGGAGGGGTTGAAATGTGTACGGCGAACACCGGGCGGGCCGCAAGGGGGCCGTGCGCGCCGGCAAGGCGGCGCCGGCGGCGCCTGGGGTCGAGTCAGAGCGCAGGCGTCGGCAGGCCCCGTGGTCCAGTCAACGCACCTCGTAGAACTGGATGACATGCGCGTGCCAGAAGGGCCTCTGGTTCAGCAGCTCCCTCCGGATCTTCTCACTCGACTGCGGGCACCCAGAGAGGGCTGTCAGCACATAGGCCGTCCGTGCGCGGCAGGGCCAGTCACTTTTTTCTGCCCGCCCAGCTTCACCTCGGCTTCACCCGAGGCGCTCCGGCCCACACTCTTGATGGCCACCACCCCACCAACCCCACAGGAGGTAATTCCCGTCTCACTCACCGCCAGGCCTCTATTGAGGAACTTGATCGCCACCCGCTCCCCGGTGTACTTGTCCGAGCACAGCAGCACGAAGCCTTGGGACCCCTTGCCCAGGTCGCCCACCTACGTCAGAGCAGCAGAGCCGCGTCAAGACACACCCACACCCCAGGTCCCCCCCCCCGGGGTGATCGGCAACCACGTTAGAGCGTGTGACAGCACCAAATGGATTTGCGACGCGCTCCTATCGCGCTGATGCATCAAAACGCTCGAGACGGAAGTTCAACCATCACGCGAGTCGTCGAGTCGGGCGCAATATTGTTTTGCTCGCCGCCGCGTGCCGATGTGCATATGGCGCCGTCGCCCTTGGCGGTGTCCGCGCGACACGACGAAGATGATGACGAGGGGCCTTTGGGGCCGCCCTCACCTTCTCGTATCTCGGGTGGCCCTCCAGAGGATTCGGCAGCGGGTCGCCTCCCGAAGATGAGCTCGTGGGCACCAGGTGGCTGAAAGAATCCCCTGCGCCCGCCATCTCCCCTTCCACCGGCCCCTTTGAAGCGCCCCACCGGCCGAAGCAGCCGGCGAACTATACGCAGTCCGCTCCCGCTCCCCGGGCCCGCGAAAACGCGCAAGCCGATCCGGCTCTTGCCGGACGCGAACACACAGTCAGGTCTAGCTAGCCTCCGGGCCCCGCACTGGACTCCGCCGATGCGCGGCGTCGCCTGCTTGAGGAGCGCGTCTCTCGGAGCTGCGTCCGCTGCGGCCTGCGCTGCTGCCAACGGGCGGCTCGCTGTCTTGCGCGGCTGTTAGCAGTGCCTTTGTCCGGTCACCCCAACCGCCCGGGCTGTAAAAGTACTTGCTTGAGGAGCTTCGGGTCGGCAGCGCTTACCTGTGACTGACAGCACCCATCAAGCAGGTACGGCAGACGTTCTCGCGGTCGATAATGCTCACGGGCCCTCACTCCGTGTGTGGGGCATTGTGACGACGTGCTCGATGTCCGTCTCAGTGTGGCGCCCTTGGAAGGGGGCGCGACTGGGTCGCGTGCCAGTGCTGTGCGCCCCCCACGGCGGGATGCACGACACCAAAAGTGTGAGAAAATCCGGACGCGGGTGTGAGGTGCGTGGCGCGTTGAGTGGTTCGCCGGTTGTGGGTGGGCCCTGCTGAGGCTGCGGGCTGGATGACATGATCACCGGCGCCATGCGCGTCCTGTGACCCGTGGCATGCAGAGGCCGGTGTGGCACCATGATTGGGCCCATGAGCCGCGCTGGGCAGGGCGGTGGCGCGAAGGCGGCGGAAGCCAGTCGGACAGGGGTGGGTGCACGCGGGCGGCTTGTTTGCACGCGAGGCGGAAGCTGCGTGTCTGCCACCCCGAATGCGTGACGGTTTGCAGCCGGCATGTGCTCATTGTGGCCGTTACGTGCATAACTCGATTTGAGCAGCACGCGGCGTGGGTTGGTGGGAGACTGGGACACGGTATTGGGATGTTTCCGTGACAGAGATTCCGCGTTGTCGATTACGAGGTGCAGAGGCTGTGTGCGTCGTGGCCAATGTAACGGCTCCAATGACATTGGCGGCTTTTGAAGGGAAGCCAGGGGGATGATTTACTTTTGTCCCCGTCATCGATTGCGAAGTGCAAAGGCATTACTTGCCATGGCTATTCTAATGGCTACCATGAAAATTGGCGGCTGCGGATGGAAGGTAGAGAGACGCCAGAGGGAATGCCGACACATGCAGGGGTGCACGAGGGCGGCTCACCTGCAATGTGGAAGCTTCCACTGCCACAGTTTCTATCACTGTACAGCGTGTGTGACATGTCATCGATTACGAGGTGCAAGGCAATGTTTGTCATAGAGTAATGTTCGGGTACACGCTAGTGACCCGAACAGTACTCTGACAACTGCCATGAAAATTAGCGGCTGGTGGCGGGAAGGTAGAGAAACGCCAGAGGGAACGCCGACACATGCAGAGGTGCACGAGGGCGGCTCACCTGCAATGTGGAATCTTCCCATTTGAATTTCAACAATACGTGTCAAATGGATGCATCTATTTGACACGCACTGTTGAAATTCAAATATGAAACTCATATGAGTGTTCACTGCGATCAGTTCACCAACTGGGTCCATACTGTTCAGAATGCAATTTGACGCGCACAAGCTCGTTATTTACGTTTACGCTTACGTTCTCACGTTTACGTTTTTATGCGCAAAAATGTAGATTTCCAAAAGAACTTATTTTTACGACGGTTGTTACGTTTTTACGGCTCGTTGTGACACCCAGGTTACACTATGAAAATAGCGTACAGTGATCAGTACTCCGCCCCGTTGAGCGCCCGCAACACAGCGTCCGCTTCCCACTCGGCGAGGGCCACCATGGAGCGGAACAAAAATCGTTTTCTGCCCATTACAGTGCGTCCGGATGCCATTCCCCGGAGTCCCGTAGGCTGTATGTACTGTTCTTATGTACACGGGGCTGTTTTCACGTTGCATTTACGTATTTTTACGCGTTGTTGGGGGTAAAAACATAAAAACTACTTTAACTCTTAAAAACGTAAATACAATCTGTGTTTACGGCGTAAATAGCAAGCCTGGACGCGCAGCTGAAGAAATACTGTCCCCGGGGAAGCTTCTGGTGATCTGGATGGAGGGCCTCCCACGAACCATGGCAGCCAACACATGGTTGCTTTTAGTTTTGACGGTGTGCTGGTTATCGTTTGTTGCTGCAGCAGTTCCTGGCGTCCGTAGAACGGAACTGTGCAAATCAATCGTGCACAACACGCCAATCATGCAGCCTAGACAGCTGTCTAGGCTTTCCTGCAGGAAACCGAATAGACAGAAGAAACTTTGCAGTGGGAGAATGCTGGCGTTTTGGTGCAGATGTGCTCGTAGGTTTAAAGTCACTGGCAAAAATTCGACCATTCTACACAGTGTACAATTGGACAAAATCGTGTTAATATCGTGTATAAATCGGGTGCTTCACAGCACGATTTTACACGATTGCCATAATCGTGTAGTTTTCAACCCTGTGTAGTACATGAAAGTTGTCCACCTTACCACCATGGACAACACGACAAAGCACACGGTTTTACACGATGTCAACAGTGTACCAGCGGCAACTGTGCATTTCGTGATTAGTACACGATCGGTACACGATGGTCACACGACTTTTACACCATTTTGACACGCGCAACACGGTACACGAATTTCTGGACCGTGTACTTTGGCCGATTTTTTACCAGTGAGTCCTTCTGCCACAAATTGAATGTCTTTTATAATTGTAACGCAGTACTTCTCCGTCATAGAAATTGCCGGTATATCTATTCGTTTACGTCACTAGCGAGCTCTGTATCAAGAAACGGAGTCGTCACAAACTACTAGCCTTCAGCAGATTTTGGGGATTTCATATCCTCGCAGGGGCCCTGAACGCCACAACCCGGCTGCTCAAACTTCGATTTTTTCGCCGTTTATCCATGGATGATAATTTCCGTCAACATTGCTGTCCCTGCTGCCTGCATCACTCCAAGGCAATTGTTTTGAAAGACGTATGTCAGGAATGGGGATACATGCAAATGTCGGCCGTCTTGCGCCTGACACAAACCTGTTGCTCCCTGTACATTCAGCCACAGTGGCTTCAGTAGAGTGACTCTACTTACTAATTGCTTGAGTGAACTCCTTCCTGCAAAAGATGGATCTGATTTGTGTCACTGCAGCATTGTTGACTCCCGAAAACCATTGAATAAATAACATCGAGGAGTTTTTTAAACAAAATTGAAAAAGGACAAGTAGAAAACGACAGAAACAAAATGATGTGGAATGTGTGCCTGGGGCGTCGCGACGCTGAAATTGTGAGAAAAAAACCAAACTAAACACTAGGAGAAAAAGGGTCAAATAACACTTTTGCGAACACACATAAAACACATTTAATCAAAGCTCTGCACGCCAAGAACACAAAAATAACAAACCCGTAAACTTTGTACTCGTTGAACACGTGTTATTTGGCCCTTTTTTCCCTAGTGAAAGATGTACAAACACCGGATTCTTATTGCAATCACTGTTATGAGATCCAATGATTGGAATTGTGACTCTTTTTGAGTCAAACCTTTTGACCACAGTATTTCGAGTGCGGCACTTGTGCCCATTCTATAAGGTGCGATGTATGTCATTGAACAATGCACATCATGCGACAATGTAGCGCAAACACTTCGCCATTCCTCTGCTACGATCGACGTGTTGTTCTCTAGCTGGCGGGTACTTGTGCATAAGTATCATGAACCGCGAAGCTGCATGGAAAATGTCGGGAAACATGAACACACCATTCTTGAGGCGGGGCACGTCGAAGCAGTGCCGCGAGCGAAATTGGCGTCCAAAGCAGAGCCAGATATGTAACCAAGCTTTCAAGCTCCCAGTAGTTGCTGAGAGCGTGAGGGAATATGACAAAAGAATGCATGGTCAGGGCACACGTGATGTAGCTGCGACGTCGCGTGTGCCCTGGGCGTGCATTTTTGTCATGTTATTGCGGCAATAGCAGAGATGCCGCCGCTTAGTGCCGGAATGACATCGCCGTTGGCATTTACGAAAATGGTGTGTTCTGCCAGCGCATTCACTAGCAAAAAAGGGACCAAGTAACACTTTTGCAAACACACATAAAAACACAGTTTATCAAAGTTATGCACGCCAAGAACACCAAAGTAACACAAACCCGTAAACTTTGTACACGTTGAACACGTGTTATTTGGCCCTTTTTTCCCTAGTGATTACCGGCTGCCATGGCCACCGTCAGCGCGAGCGTGCCCGTGATGCGCAGCCAATGACCAACAGAAGGACAACATATCGAAGGCATGGCAGCGAGGTCGCGTTGAAGCATTAGCAAGACAAACTTCCCATTTCACCCATTTCATAATTGCTTGAAATCTGTGTGGAAATGGGACCACAATGTACCATCTTGACGGCATTTCGAGCCATATTTTGTCAGGTTGCATAATCAGTAAGGACAAATGGCTGTGACGAGGTCGGCGGTCGACCCGAGGGAAGGTGATGGAGGTGAACAAAGTTAGTTCATACTTAATATGAATTATGGTGTTAGGCCGTGTCGCGGTGGCACGACAAAGAGGTGATCTTTGGAGCAGCCATACATTTGCAAGGTTGCCGCGAAGGTGGCAAGATGGCCCATCTTGTGTAGAAACGTAATTGGGTGGATATTGAAATTTGAGTTTTGAATAGTTCATGGTTTTGCTCACTAATTCGGTCACCGCAGCCTGCTGATGACGGAACGCAAAGATTGAGGGGATCCAAGGACCTGTACTTTCTCCGTGCAGGATGTTCTTGCCCGAAGTTGTCGACTGTGATTGAGTACAAAAGGTGCGTCCAGCCAATGTTATGCATCGACGTGGACGGCGTGCCACGCCGTTGTGTTCCGTTGTGTCAGGTCGCCATTGTGTTCGCCGTGCCGCATTCACCAGTAAAAACTCGGTCAAAGTACGCGGTCCTGAAATCGTGTAATGTGTTATGCGTGTAAAATCATGTACAAATAAATGGTGTACAAATTGTGTACCGATCACAAAGTTCACGATTGCTAAAATCGCGTAGTTTTCAGCCTTGTTTAAGAACACGAAAGAGGACCACCTTGCCACAATAGACAACACGATAAAGAACAAGGTCCTCCACGGTTTCAACGGTGTAGTAAGAGCAGCCGTGTAAAATCGTGTTCCCAAAGCACCCAATTTAGACGCAATTGTACACGGTGGACAGTGGCTGATTTTTCACTACTGATTTTGGTCGGCCATCGATGGAGATATCTGCTCGTTACATATAAACGCACCAAAAGGAAACTGCTCGGCATTGATCGCAGCGAAGAGGTCAAGGTTTACATCTTCCTGCTGCAAAAAGATCGATCGAAAGCTCAAGAATTCTTTGAGCTGGCAAGAGTGGGAGGTACTGAATGGCACGGCAGCGACGACCACTGCTGGTGCCAAGGAAGAGGGCGGGATGGGGATTCGCTTCACAGGAGACAACCGCTTTCACTAGTGAGACCAGTTTCAGACCGCAGACCGCTTCACCAGTACTGGCAAGCAGCGCGGCAGCCAATGAGATTTGACAGGAGCCGGTGTGCGGCCAGGTCTGCGGCAGAAGAAGGCGAGCCACGTGCTCGATCGACCGTTTACTGAGCGTTGCGATTTGCCGATATTGAGATGTTTCAGTAACGAAGTGCTGGCGGAGTTGATGGCGGAAAGGGCGAAATAAAGCAAAGACTGTGCATGGGAGCTGCATACTGTGGGTGAGCAATTCAGGAATGACGACGTGTAAGGCATTGGAGAAGAGATTAAGGCGTCCGCTGCAGAATTCGAGCAGCACTGGAGCTTTGCATGCAATTGTAGATTGCATTACCGGATCAACCAACCGAACCTGAGCCAAAAAGGGGACGTGAAGCGAAGGATGTGATGTGGATTTTGGCCTATAAATGTGTGACCTGACGGCAAGCGGTTCGATTGAAGAAAGTGGCAAAAGAGCTGATCGACAGTGGCTGCCAAGGGTCGTGCAAGATCTGCTGCAACATTTAAGAAGCACCATCTGCGAGTCTGTGCGAAATTAGGCTTGAAAATAGCGGCAATGATTATCCTCTAACTTGAGCTAGAAATTTCCCGTTGCATCGCCTGGTCTGTCAACGGTCACCATGATGTTTGTTGACACAAACATATGTTGCCAAGCGCAAATACATTCGCGGCCAGAGTTTATGAGCAAGCCCGGAACTACATACCCGGAACTCGCCGCCTCAGCGCCTCCATCCCACCCCCTCCTGTGAGCCCTCGCTGCCCTCCCGTCAGTACTGACTCACCCGCCAGCCTGGCGCCCGCTCCCCGTCCCCCAGCCTCAACCCCCCGGCTTCACCGCCTGTGCCTGCACCCCTCGCGCAATGTGCGAATCTTTGGCGACCTATACTACCGGCCTCCAGGCTAGGACAGGCCCCTCGACTCACCACCACAGGTTTCTGGCCGGGGTCCATTTAACCCGAATAATTAATTAGGTAACCCCCTTTTCAAATCATTAAAACACCTCGCAGCGCCCGCACTGCGCTCCCCGCGCCAGGGTTTGCGGAAAGCTGCGCCCAGACCGGCGCCTCCAGCGCAGGCAGGCGGACGCTGCTTTGCCCGCGAAGAGCCCAGAGGCGCCATGGCGCCCCTTCGCATGTGCTACGTGCCGTCTCGCGACGTGGTGGCCAAGGATTCGGCCAGGTCGCCGCGCCCGGCCCTCCTGCGGCCTGCCGCCGGGCCGGGCGGCCTGCGGCTGAAGGTGGTGCGCCACCACAGGCTGGGCATGCGGGGCCCGCCGTGCTGCCTGCCGGAGACCGGTACCCTGACGCAGACCCAGGAGGACCGGGCGGATTCCGGGGAGAAAAATGGTGCGGATGGGACCGGGATCGGCGCGGAGGCCGGCCAGGATGCCAGGCAGGGGGCGCGATGGCAGGCGGGCACCATCTCCGTGCACGGCGGGGAGCGGGCTGGCAGGCCGAGGGTTTCTGACTCCTTGACCACGCCGATCGTGCAGACTTCGACTTACACGTTCAAGGACACGGCCGAGCTGATCGCATACCAGGAAGGGCGGTTCGGCTCCTACGAGTACGGCCGGTATGGCAACCCCACTTCAAGGGCATGCGAGGAGAAGATACGGGTACTGGAGGGCGCCGAGGAGTGCCTCCTGTCTGCGTCGGGTATGAACAGCGCCACCACACTGCTGCTGGCGCTGGTCCCCGCGGGCGGTCACTGCGTGGTCACCACGGACTGCTACCGGCGCACGCGGCAATTCATCCAGACCGTGATGCCCAAGATGGGGGTCACCTCGACGGTGATCGACCCGTCTGACCTGGAGGCCCTGAGAGCGGTCCTGGCGCAGCGCAAGGTGTCGCTGTTCTTCACGGAGTCGCCCACCAACCCCTACCTGCGCTGCGTGGACGTGCCGGCCATCGCCAAGATGTGCAGGGAGTCCGGCACGCTGGTGGTCATCGACTCCACGTTCTCCACGCCCTGCAACCAGCGGGCGATCGATCTGGGGGCCGATTTGGTGATCCATTCGGCCACCAAGTACCTGGCCGGCCACAACGACGTTCTGGCGGGCGCCATTGCTGGCAGGGCTGACGTCGTGGACGCCGTCCGTTCCCTGCACAACGTCCTGGGCGGCGTTGTGGATCCGCACGCGGCGTATTTGCTCCTGCGCGGCATGAAGACGCTCAACCTGCGGGTGAAGAGGCATAACGACAATGGCTTTGAGCTGGCACGCCGGCTGGAGGCCCACCCCAAGATCGCGAGGGTGTACTACCCTGGCCTCCCGAGCCACCCCGACCACGAGATCGCCAAGGAGCAGATGACGGGATTCGGTGGCGTGGTGAGCTTCGAGGTGGAGGGAGGGCTGGAGAGGACGTCCAAGTTCATAGATTGCGTGCGGCTGCCGTACATTGCGCCATCCCTTGGGGGGGTGGAGACGCTGATCGAGCAGCCGGCGGTGATCTCTTACTGGGACATCGGGCCCGTGAAGAGAGCGGAGCTGGGAATCAAGGACAACCTCGTGCGGTTCAGCTGCGGTGTGGAGGACTTTGAGGACATCTGGGAGGATGTGAGCCAGGCACTGGATCAGATATGAGGGGTGGGGGCGGGCCCGCCGCAGAGAAGAAGAAGCAGTTGGTTGTTTGGGGCCGAATTTGGGGCTGGAGTCGAAAATTGTGGCTGGTGTCTTTTTGGCAAGGATGGTGGACCCGGGCTGGCCCCTCATGGGCAAGTGTGCCGGCTTGGGCGGTGGGTGGTGATGTTGGGCAGTTGTGTACGGCACGTGTAGGCAACCGCTGCTTGTGAAATAGGTGAGCACTGTGGCAGTGGATGGCAGGATGTGCGTTTTGTGTCAGAGGCGAAGTCCGGTCCATGGGTTGCTCCAGTCGTGGCATCTACAGAACTCAAGGTTGAGGGCGCTGAGGGTTTGAGCATGTGTGTGGTTCCTTTGAATCGTTTTGTCACACGAATTCTTTACAAAGGGACTGTCTTTCACAGCAGGGGTCCCTGGTGGCGACATCGCGGTCTGGGGCCCAACGAAGAAGCATGGCTGGAAGAATGGGGCCAAAAGATCAGGCACCTGCTGGAAGGTAGATGCTGAAGGTGATTCTATGGGGGAGGCTGGCTTGTCTCAGTCAATCCAGACAATGGGGTTTGGGGTTGGGGGCTTGGGGGCCATTTTCTGCAATTTAACTGGAGATGTTCGCATCTCATGTTCATGCTGTGGCTGATTCTCAGTACTGAGCAAATTTTCGCACCTGTTCACAGTTAGGGTGCCAGCGCTGCACAGTGGATTTGAATGGATCGGCACGCTGCTGGCTTCAAGGTGGGAACGGTCAGCTGCCTGTGGCAGTTTGGTGCAATGTGTCCAGGTGCAGGTATTGTGCTCCTCCAGAAGCAAGTCTTTGTTGATTGCAGTCACCCAAACATAACAAGTTTGTGCCCTCCACGCAACTGGCATTTGGCGACAGCACATCATCAACCGTGACAACAACAACTCGATGCAGTACAACATCGCGTGCTTGGTGGCAACAGCTGTACATCATGGCGACCATTCTCCCCCAAGACTTGGCTGCTCTTGGGCTGGCACCTTGTTGCCCCTTGTGGTGGTTCGTTTCCTGGAGTTGTTCAACCGATCGCTGACAGTTGAATGCTGTGTCACTGCCTGACAACGACTTCAGACAGGGTGCTCTGCTGCACAGCATTGGCTGTGTGCTTGCTACTGACAGTGAACGAGGCCCCTCAGCTCCATTGGAGCCTGCACCCATCTGTCTTGCCCATGGCCACGTCCTCGCGCAACCACCCGGCCACTCGCGCCTCCTTTGCTGCACGTGTGGTAGAGTTGTTTCTGGTGGCACTGCTGGTTGAAATCCTTGAAGAATAGCAACCATTGCTGAGCAGTATTGCGCCTTTGGCTTTGCCGGCTGAGTGTGGGGCTCGCATCCGAAGTCCTTGCTTGTCCCCTCGTTGTGTGCACCTTTGCACTGCACCCACACGTTCCATGCACCAAACGCGGTGTCAGTGCTTGCTACAGTTTTGCTCTTACACGCTCACTTTTGTGCTTCTGCAATCTGTGGCTTCAGGTCCTGTTCATTCGTTCCGCTTGCCTCAGGGCACTCGTTAGTCACGGCAGCAGAAGGTCCAGAGAGTGGTGGCCGTAATGTCTCAGCTGGGCAGCGCTTTGCATATTCTGCGGTGTGTTGGTTCCCAGTGCGCTGCTGTAGTATGATGTTCCGTTCAGTGCTCTCTGGAACACTGGCGATTTGGGGTGAGGGCACGGACCAATAGCCAATGCCAGGGGCCAACGAGCGTGCACAGAACAGCCCTCCGCAAAATGGGGGCGCCTCACATCAAGCGCTGGGCCAAACAAGGATGGGCGACAACTGCATCATCGGCTGTGCCAGACGTCGATTCCAAATGAATGCGGCTGCCACATCGTCGGACACGCAACAACTGCACAATTTTGCATGATCAGCATCAACTGGTATCAGGAACTGTGCCACTTGCAGACGAAGTCAGTTGAATTTGCCGTACTGGGGCATGTAGGCGGGAACCTTGTCTTGGTTAATGTTCGCTGGCCTCAGGGCGCAACAGGCACACATGTTTACCACCACAACCTTGTGGTCCCGCCCAGCACGTTGTACATGACGTTTGTGTGGACACAATGCTTCACTGTCAACGCGAAACTCGGGCTGGAATCGATGGCGTGCAGCTGGTGAGCTTATGCTGGCCCCTGCTGCTCTTGCAGCCATGTGCGTTTGTTGGCATTGTCTCCGATTCTGGAACCATCGCACAACAACACACAATGCGGCATCTGCACCCTGGTGCACCGCCGCTACAAAAGAAGCGAACCGCATCAACGCACAACTCGCTTACCGTGGGCGTGCAAATGGGAAGCTGAACGCAACAAATTTGTGAAATGGCGCCACAGGTGAGCATGCAGCGGATCCCAGCACTGGCGTTCCAGCATTGCTTCGCCCGGCAGCTGGAGATGTAGCCTGCTGCACCCCGTGAGCCCAAAGCTCGGGTTGCTTGTGGGATGCCATTGAAGTCCCCGCGCATCGGTTTTACAGTGCGCTCTTGCGCAGTTCCTGTGTCCCTGCCCCCCACCCCACCCACACCCCACACCCCACACACAACCCACCCCACCCCTTCCACGGGTGTGTTGGATGTGAGAGGTTGTCATTGGGAACTCGCGCGCGTTCCTGGAGTACGCTCTACAAGAGACTGTCAGACGTTTATGCCGGCTTAGAGGGCAGGTCGACGTTGACGCAGTTTGGAATGCCTTCACTCTTTTGCGATGAGAAAGGCGCCCACATTGCGTGGTCCGTTGCCATCAGCCCGGACACGAAGCGAGCGAATTTAGACTCAAGATTCGCGTGAGTTGGACAGGTTTTCAGGCTGAGGACGTGTCCCTTCAAGCCACATGCAATCTCCGCTTCTGTTGACAGCGCACAGCGTGGGCATGCTGGATGCACAGCACCATGCAAGAACCTTGCACACATCGACTACATACAGGTTGCATTTGATCCAAGCTGCAATCATTCGCACCTTTCCTTTCTGCCAAACCTCAGCGCACACCAAGCACCATCCGATCTCAATCCCTGTGAGCCCGCTCCACATCCTGTGTATGCCGGAAGGGTACGGAGACCAACGATGCGTGGGTCACGACGCCAGCCAAAATGAGCACAGTCACCATCACTTCGTAGTAGTTGTTGAACAAGGCAACGGCGGGGACGCAACCACCGATGTGCATACAAGGGCATGCGTGGCTACCAAGACGGGCACTCGTGAGAGTGTTGTATAACACCATGAATACGGGGGATGCTATCATCGCACTTCGATGCTCAAAGATGGTTTCGCAACCCGTGTTGATCTCGGTAGTTCAGGAAAGTGGGGCCGTAAAGGTTCCTGTGACAACTGCGAGGAGGCCTTGTGCTCACCAACTGCCAAGTGTCGCTGGTACGGCCTTGGTTGTTCACAACGCAACCAGAGGTGGTCCATTTCCTCAATGCAACCATGTACCAGAGACGATCCATGATCACAGGAGCCTCCTCTAAGGTTTAGCGGACGTGTGTGAGAGGGTCGTCTTCTGACATCTCTTGCGCTCATTGATCCATGAGAATCAAGACCTTTCATCCAAGGGGCCCCTGATTGGCTTGAGCCGCAAATCACACTTCAACAAACTACTTCCAATGTCTTTTCGGCGGGTTGGGATCGACGGCGACTTTGCCGAAGCTCGATTGACAGCAGCCGTTCTAGCCAGGCGATCGCCGCAGTTTTGAAAATTGCACAAAGTGGAACCTCTAGACTACAAGCTTGTACCTAAGTCCTAAGACTTGGCCTTGTTCCAACTTGCAGTGCCATGCTTGTGCGCAATACTAGGAATTCAGCACGGTAAGAAGGTGGCGGTACACTGTATGAAATGGACCATTTGCTGCGCAATCGCACAGCCTGTGGGCTGCGCCGTCGCAATAATTGCCCAGGATTTGCACCATGGCGTGGGAAGCATGACGCCGCAGGATGCCCTGAACTGCAGCCGTTGCAGTACAGCCTCTCGCAAGAGGATGGCGACGATCATCGCCAGGCTGGATCTTTGCGGCGTAACACACTTTCCTATTTACGGCTATTTACGCGCAAAAATAGTCTTTACGTTTTTACGCATTGACGAAGGCAGGCAGGGTCGAGGGGTGGCGATCCCTGAACGGGAATCGTACGCTCAAGTCCACGGCAACGGTTTACAGCCGAGGCAAAAGGACAACAGACGCTCTGTCCTTTATACCCAGTCCGTTCATCAACATCCTTAATGTAATTCCTAGTGCTTCGTCATCTTTTCATACATTCAGTTATTTATAACACTCAATCAGTTCTAGCCGTAACAGCATAAATAGCCGTAAAAATGGGTAAAAATGGGTAAAAATGGGCCCTTTGTACTTAAAGACAGTACACACTGACTCAGGAAGTGCTGGGAGTGGCAGCCAGATGCGCTGAAGTGTCCGTGAAACGATCTTTTGCTCGGGAACGTTGTTGCACTAGCTGTGATGTGGTGTGTACTTCTTTGCCAGTACTAGAGAGAGTGGAGGGTTGACCGTTGATTGGGAAATCATCATGTACTCTGGGCATGTCTACAGGCCGTAAATTGGCGTAAGTCTGGCCGTAAAAATGGCCGTTTTTCCATTTGCGCAAAAGCGTAAACGTAATAATGGAGCTGTGTGTTTATGCACGTGTCTGCACCCGTTGTACCCAAGCAACCAGATGTGCTCAAAGGATTTACATGGACTTTCCTACGAGCTATCGACCGTGCAGGCAGCAAACCGTTTCATAGATGCGGTGTGTCCACGAATATTTCATGGAAAAGGCCGCTTAAATTTAAATTTTTAAATTTTTCGTGGAAAAGACATTTGATGCCCTTGTGTTGATGAAGCGGTGCTATTGAATAGGGACGCCCGCTCAGGATTATTGACTCATGTTTTGATTTTGATATATAGTACAGCCGTGGGGTATGCTGGGTGCATGGCACAAGCACACGGGGGCTGATTCGGGGCCTCCGCCTATTCCACCCAATCCACTCAAGGAAGATACTAATGGGGTCCCATT